GATACAGTATCGGGAAATGAAATATCGCGATATTTCAGTGTATCGATATTTTCTTACACCCCTATTCACAGTACAAATGCTGCAACAGTAGATGGTGAAAACACACCAAAATGGAGATTTTTATCTGGTGATTTTGCTACTTTTGAACTCTGTGCCGTCATTTTGCAGGTAAAACACTTGACATGCATTTAAGGAAATGTAGTTTATGGTCAATGCTGGCTTTAAGGCAGCTTATTTTAAGACATGAATACATCTTTGAAATGATCTCGGGCCACATTTGGCCCACGGGCCTTGAGTTGGACCTTGAAGTAACGGGCTCTGAGTTTGGACCTGCTAATTCTGCTGGCCTGGGTTTCTTCTTCCCTTCACTTTTTCCTGCTCCACCGAAACAACATGGAGGAGTGTTCTGTACCATCGACCATCACTTCCTTTTTTTAGTCTTCAAAACTCAAAGTTCAAAATAAAACCGCAATGACAATGTTTTTTTTTATTATTTCAGACATTTTAATGATCATTTGAATTTTAAAAAATTGCCCACATTTGTTTTTATTTACAGTATTAATGAGTCTTTTATTGAGACGTGTTGCAGTTTTTGGCCTCGTCAGCAGATGATAATCTGGATATTGGACCTTAAGCTGGCAGGAGTGGACCGTAAAAGCAAAAGCCACAACAAGCAACCTTGAAAGAGCCGAAACTCTCGTTCTCCGGAACCGTTTCTAAAACAGGACTTGGCAAAATGTCACGGTGGACTTTTATGTCTGGCATGCAGCGGGTATTAATCACGGGCTGAATCTGCGCCTGAGAGGCTGATCAGATTTATTGTTTGGCTGCGCGGGACAGTAATGGGTGTTTAATTACTCAATAAAAGCCCTTTTATAGATTCCCGGGCCTCCTGTGTGTTGAGCAAATGGTATTGATCCGTCTCCGGGCTGCAACATGATAGCCTGTGAAGGAGAATTAGAGCCGTTAGCCCGCTAGCAGTTTCTCATTCATTAGTTGCATTAGCCAGAGGGTGGTTAAGACGCAGCATCGCTCTTAATACCACAGTCTCAGAGGTTTTTTTGTGTATTCTGGAGCACGCTGCAGCTCATTTACACAAATATGGATTAGGTGAGAGATAACATTGTAGGAAGCGAGTAAATAAAAATAAAATAAAAAAAGCTCCAGTGGAGCGTTGGGTCTTGTAAGCTGTGCTGTCAGCGCAGCTTTGTCAGCGCTCTGAAACGCTGAGGACTAAATGCGATAACGGCCCTCAGCCGAGCTGTGAGCTGCATTAGCCGGGCCACCTTCGAGTCCGCCGTTAATCCCACCGCTTCACCACCCTCTAATCTTTAATCTGACTCCTCCTCCTCTTTCTCCTCATCATAGGCCTAATTCAGGACCTGCAGTCCTCCGGCTCAATCTGGACTCTCCAGAATAAACAGGCTCAGACGCTCTGATTGTGTTCAGCTGTGCTATAAGACTGATGAGACTACATGTTGGCTTTAACATGTTGTCATTTCTCTGTTCTACTAAAACTTCTTTCTGCACATAAAAACTACTTAAAAATTTATTTGTTGGTTCAACTTTTCACTTAAACAAGTTGCTGGTTTGTTACCGACACAATCCTTTTTGGGGATGATGATGACGTAAAGTTAAAGCACAAAGAGTTGAGGCTAAAAGCTATAATGTGTGACAAAGTTATACTCTGTGTTAGTTTCTATGTTCTGCGCAATATGTTTGGGTTGAAACAATCAAACGTGATGTTTAATAAATTAGCTCATGCAATATATAAACAATATATATACACTTGACAGAAAACGTAATTTATGTTATGTTTCTTACAAATGTGGCACCATTTAAAAGAGAAATTAACAGCCTTTTTAGATTGTCAATAAATAAAAAGAATAAATAAAGAAGTGTGTGTGTATATATA